CTTCTTCCTCTATTCCCACTGCCAGTGTTTCATGTTTCATGTGGGTTACTGAAAATCTCTTACCAGGCACCTCTCTGCCAAGCCTACCTTTCTGATCTGTATTCTGTGCCACAGGCAGAGGGAGCCCTCTAAAATGCAGGTCCAAACCTTTAGGATCTGTGAGGATCTGCCCCTGATTGTCCAGCCTCATTTTTCCCATCCCCTCCCTACCATCCGACAGCCACAGTAAACTGTTTGCAGCTCCCAAGGTCTCTTACTGTGCCATCTTCTTCTCTGCTTTCATTCATTGATTGCTCCCTTTGCCAAAACTCCCTTGCTTCCCTCATTTACCTGGATAGCACCTTCTCAGCTCTCAAAGACCAGCTCAAATATCACTTCCTCCAAGAAAGGAAATGTTCGCAGCATGGATTATCATCCTTGCTAGTTTCTGCAGCAGGCTTCGGATACCTTTATCATTGCAGGTCCTATGCTGTCCTGTGTATTATGCCTGTTTATGTACCTTCTGAGCTACTATATCCTAAGCTCCCCTCAAGACAAGGACACATCTTCTTAATATATGTAATATATTCCTAACCCCAGTCACAACTGATACTCAATAAAAACATTAGTTTAGTTAATTGATTCAATATTTAAAAAAAATAATAGCAAGATGATCAATATCCTACCAGATGGACTGAGGATACCACAGCAACTGGATCCTCCTATTCTATTGTTGAACAAGAAAGAGCAAATTAGTGCAAAGAGGTCCCAGTCCTTGGCTTAAAAGCATTGTTTTAAAGCCAAATAAAACCAAGTAAAAATAGTTTCCCAATTTATCATTTCTTTCCTCTGCAGTGGCTGCTGATCAGTGGGCCATCACACATCATGAACCACTCTCTCAGCTCTGTTATCTTTTGACGTTAGCTGGCTCCTATAAAAACCATAGCTGGAAAAAAGTCCAAAAGTTGCTGGCCTCCTGTATCCCTGCCTCATCTAGTCTTTCCTCATTCACCCGAAGTGAAGATCTCCTGGTGCTGCAGACAGATCTTTGTATTTCCAAGGAGGAGAAAATAGGTGAAATGGGAAAAAGAGAAGGCCTGGAAGGTTAGGTGGATCATTTCCACTTAGAGTTGAAGTTTGACCCTTACTCTTCTTGCAAATTAATAACATATGCATTTCCAGATCCCACCCAGTGTTCAGGAAGATGCCAGAACATGAAATATGATTACATTTCCTCAAAGATGATGGCTAATTGCAATTGCTGATGCTTCTTCTAGAAAGCCAGATTGGCCTGTACATAAAGGTAAAGTAGTCAAGATAGGAAGCCTGATGCAGAGTCAGCTCTTGTTCCTGATTCTTTCCTTTATGACCTTGGGTAGGCTATTTGCCTTCTCCATGCCCTCACTTTCTCTGTAATGTGGAGATAATAATATACAAGTGTCCCTTGATACCTGTTAGGGACTGGTTCCAGGACCTCTGTGGATGCTGAACTCCACAGATGCACAAGTCCCTTCTATAAAATAGTCTAGTATTTGCATAGAAACTACACAATTCTCCCATATAATTTAAATAATTTCTAGGTTACTTATAATATCTCATGCAATGTCAATGCTATGTAACTCATTATGTTGTTTACAGAATAGTGAAAGGGAAAAAAATCTGTACATGTTCAACGCAGATGCAATTTTTTCCTGAATATTTTCCATCCATGGTTGGTTGAATCCACAGATGCAGAACTTCCAAGCCTTCTCTTTTTCCTATTCTGCAAATACAGAGGGACAGCTGTAACTACTTCTTACATGTAAGATACTTAGAAAAATGCCCAGCAGGCAAGTATGCTTTCAAGATCTGAGCCCAGCATAATAATATCTACCTGGAAGAATGAATGTGGGGCTTAAGTGCAATAATACTCACAAGTGTATTACAATAATACTCACAGTGTATTGCAATAATACTCACTTGCAAAGTGTTGACACACAGTGTTGACACACAGTGGGTGTTCAATAAATGGCTGATATTAAATTCATGTGAGTATTATGGAACTCTGGGTGGACTATCTTAATGCGATGCTCCATCCCAGAATTAAGAAGATGAGGTATATTTAAAGAAAGTTATATACAAGGAAAGAGCTATGGAAACTGAAGGGGACTTATAAAGAAATAAGTTGACAGGGCTAAGAGATCTGAAAACATTGTATGAGATAGAGCTGAAGAAAGAATGGGTTCAGAGCGGGGCCCTGTCTTCTTGTCAAAGACGACAGGCTGGGAGGGCTGGGAGATGAGCCTAGATTTGAAGCTACAGTAAGAAAAAGTCAGAAGAGAGAATAAAGCTCTGGAGGTGCTGGAATGAACAGAATAAGGCCTCTGGTACTGGCCACAAAGACGAAACAGCAAGGATTTTCTAATGCCACAGGCAGTAACAATGGTTGAAACATTGCCAGGTATCTGTGGTTTGGACTAAAAGGTTCTCTAAGATCCAAACAAAGACAAGCACCTAACTCCTCAAGATTCCAAAGAGCTAAGGAACTAAGTAAGGATGGTCTTTGAATCTGAGAATGAATGGCAGGATTTGACAGAGGGATTTTATCTTAAGGGTCAGGACCAGAGAAAAAGGCCAATGAACTCAGCAGGAGTTGCCCGTCGGGGAGTGGCTTTGTGTGTGGGAAGAGCAAGGATTATTCATCACTGTAACCATAATTGTGGCAAATAGACAGGATTCAGCTCCATAAGCTGAAGCAAACCTAACCGAGCCATGTGAGCATCATGACCACTCCCACCAAAAACTCATAGAGCACCTACAAGTGTGTGCCTAGAAGATACCGAGGAAATGTGGCAAAGACCAGTCTCCAGGTGATGGCAAAAAAATGTCCCTACCTCCCGGTAACAAACTTAGATCACGTGGAGGTAAAGACAGGCTGTCTTGCCCCACTTGGACAACTAATGGTCTACGTGGTCTCCTTAGGCTTCTCTGGGTTGCTGAAGGGAAAAAAAAAATTAGGGGAAAATTTTTTCCCACAGTTTTGTGGGTTAAAGCAGAGGGAGAAATATCAGCAACCAAAAATGTTAGGAAGAAATAACACTTCTCCCCTGTATTTAAAAAAAATTAATTATTTATTTGTTGTATTTAAAAAAATATTTATTAGTCTGAATCTTTAGACACATTTCCTTGTCAAGTCCCTCTTACACGTGTTCAACCCATCATCTCACTGGCAAGTCATTTTCCAGCCACTCCCAGTCTTAGATACACTAATGAGTTCAGCATTAGAATCAGCGGCATCTCACAGCATGCACCAGTCTGCTCCTGAACTCAGAATGCCGGTTCTCGGGCCATTCTGGGTTCAATATTCCCTCTGATGAAGGCTCTGAGAAGACTCCCCAGGGAGCAAGAGTACCTACCAGCACACTCCTCCAGGGAACATGGGGAGGCCTCCGAGGACACTCCAGGGCAGCCAGGTCTGGAGGGAGTCAACATTGAGGATACTCGGCGACGTTCTCTGACACCATCCCCACACGTAGCGCTACATTGGCTCCACGGCTGCCACAGTCCCCAAGTTTCTGCAAGGACATAAAGTCATGTTTTTAATGCTAGTTCATTTGAGAATCAGTATTTAACTGCACCCAAATGAAGCAGCAATACTCAAATTTTCGGCCTTTGAAAGGGCGTTAGTTAAAACCTTTCCCGGAGTGGAGGAAGCTGCAAAGACTGTATCTCCTAGCCTTAAAACAAAGAAAATCTGTATAATCTATAAAATCTTAGCCTTCCTAGAAGCCACCAGATAACTGAGGTCACAGGGCAACCAACTAACCTGCAACGTAAGGAAAGACAGGCTCCTCCAAAGAGAGAGTGATGCAGCATTTGTTTACCTGGGACAGACTCCAGGACCCACCCACACAAGTTAGGGAGAAGACTCCATTAAAAAAGGTACTGAATTGCTAAAAACCTAGTGTGTGGACTAGCATGAGAACAGAGTCCCTGGGGGATGACAAAACAAGGGGAATTTGTACCCACTTGCAGACTCTTTTCTAGAGAGCTCACCAAATGCTCACAGAAGGAAGGAGTGCAGGTGTAAGACTAGACAAAGCCCTCTCACAGTTGAAGTCTAAGGAGAGAAGGGACATCACCACAGAAAAGACAGAAACCTCACCCAGATCCTTCTCCCCACCTCCTTTACAGAACAGCATCCTTAACCACTGGGGAAAAGGCTGCCACTCTGTCAACCTAAGCGTATTGGGTGAGGCCAACTGCTACTAGGGCATGAAGAAACTGTGCCCTTAAGGAGAAGCTGAAAACGTCGTGGGCCCAGATATTGTGAATCTTCCACCATGTGGGAGGAGAGGGATCATCACGAAAGCCCTATCTATCCCTGAGACACAGGGATACAGCACTTGCCCAAGACTGAGTTGACCCAGTCCAAGAGAATGCCCTCTCCTCATTTCATGGTAGCAAGTACCACATAGCAAATAACAATAGTCTAGAGCTGGGGTGGGTTGGGGAGAGGCAAGAGCTAGAACCTCTCCAATGCATAGACTCAAGTCTAAAGCTGAGGGTGAATAGAAGTATGGAGAAAAACACTCTGGCAATCTAATGCCTACCCTAAAAACAAAGTAACACGAGAAAATTCTGACATCTGTGATGTATTGAGGGTAGCCACAACAGGAAAAATCCAAAGAATGACTCAAATCTTTAATTAACCCAATGCTCTCAGTAAAGATCTAGCAAAACCCGGTATTGAAATACCTACATTAAGACCTAGGGGAAAAAAAACAGAAATATACCCATTTTACAACATAAATACTACATGCCTTAGTGTCCACATTTTCAAACAAATTTGTAGCTTTCAAAATGTAATTATGAGAGGCACAAGAAAGGAAAAAGACAATAAGCTATCAAGAGACAAAACAATCTAGAGAACCAGACTCAGATATGACCCAGATATTAGACCTATTAGAAAGAAGGTTAAAATAATTTATTAATGTTAAAGACTTTAGTGAAAAGATGAACAAAATGTACAGAGATGGAAATTTTCATCAGAGAGTTGTAAACTAAAGAGTCAAATGGAAATGTTAGAATTGAAAAACAGTAACAGAGTTGAAGAATGCCTTTTATAGGCTCATAATAGATTCAACACAGCTGAGGAAAGAAACAGTGTATTTGGATATAGGTAACTAGAAATCACCCAAACTAATACACTAAGAGTGCTATGAATTTAATATGTTTTCCAAAAGCCATGTGTTTGAACTTGATCCCCAACCCAACAGTGCTGAGAGGTAGAACCTAATGAAAGGTTTTAAGGTTTTGAGGGCTC